CTCCTTCGATTCCGGTGAACCCGGGCTGAGCTTTCGTCCGTCATATGACGGACATTATCAGAGCGAGGTATCATCGTCACAACAAAATGCAAGCCTACGAGTCAAGAAAACTCATCGTATAATGCTCCTCTCCCAGACAATAGGGTTTATTCGCCCATCCTCACCATATTGCATGCTTTCTCTTTTATGCCCTCCACCTCAGCATGACGTCTCCTGTAACCGTGGGGCCCCACTCGAGTCCTGCCAGACACAGTGATGCTGGAGCCAACTCCGAGGCTACCACACGAGGCGTTGACGTCTCAAAGCTGGCCACAGTTCAACGTGTGATGAGCCTGACCACTGAGTCGTTCACACCACTGAGACACACCACACGACATGTCAGAAATTCAACACGCCTACACAAGAACCTTGGTCAGGAGATAAACAAAATGCTCGAAGGGGTCGCCAAGAAGCTGCACAGTAAGTCTAAAGGCCAGCACCGACGGGCTTGTCCAGCAGCCTGCTCCCGCGTGTTCTGCAAACGCCTCAGTTGCTATGGCCGTATTAAAGGTTGCTCTTCACGTCAACCTAACAATACCGCTATGGACAATTAATTAAATAGCCGTTAATAAGTTGTGATACCACTATTTGGTATCAGTCTGTGTTTACACCTTTTTACTACAGTGTGTGGTGACATATGTAACTTTTGACTAACTTGTCTTTTAGTAATAGGTTTCGAGTTGCATTATTGACCTGATAAAGGCAAGAAGAAAGATTTTGACTTCTGCCACGCTCATAATTGGTATTAGGTCATGAAGAAGAGCTGTAGTTAGCTTAGGTTGCCCGAGGTGAGAAAGTGTTGATAGTTAACTTTTTAGTGGTTTTCCACTACAATAAACCGCTGTTCCCGATGAGAGTATATTTTGGTAGTCAAGGCTAATTAAAACTCATTGGTTTCGCGGAGCCTATTCTCATCATCGCAGGGAAATTCAAGATAACCTTGTGCGACCCAATAAGATTAGAGTCTTTATTTATTGTACCATGCCCTCCGGATATTCGGAGTAGCAAATTTCATCGTACAGCTCAAGCTTCTCTCTCTATTGACGGGAGCAGCGACATTATCAGCTCACTGACATTATGTGAAACTGGTAAATATTGTTCGTATTTAAGTAGAGTTTCGAGACTACCAGTAAATCAGTAATATGAGATGAATTCAGCCTATTTCATTTAAGGCGATGAAGGACTGGTAGTAGAATTTTCCCACAATGATATGAGTTAAGCTGAGGTTTCCATTGAATTTCACATTGCCTTGCTTTCCCAAAAGTTGTTCTCCTTCAGGTACCAGTGGAATGCAGTTTCGACCTCGCATCTGTCTTATCAACACCCCCAGCGAGGGTCGAACCGTGACAGTGCAGAATGGGAGCTTGACACGCCAACCACTAGGCCACAATGCTAC